TGGATTTCTACCAGGTCACTCCACTGTATATCAATTAATTGAAACATATGATACTATTGTTAAAGCTATTGACAACGGTGAACATTGTTGCATGATATTTTGTGATCTTATTAAAGCTTTTGATCGTGTATGGCATAAGGGTCTCTTGTTTAAACTCAGAACTTATGGTATAGAAGGAAATTTGTTTCAATGGTTAAAGAGTTACATAGAGGGTAGATCACAACGAGTTTTATACAGAAACTTATTATCTGACAAAAAACCTTTATATGCGGGTGTCCCTCAAGGCTCAGTGTTAGGACCTCTATTATTTCTTATATATGTAAATGATGTTGCTGAAGAAATGACAAGTTTTTGTAGACTATTTGCAGATGATAACTCCCTTCAGCAGTCATCTAAAAATGTCAATACTATCGAAAACAAACTGAATTATGATCTTAACAAGCTAGAAATTTGGTCGAAAAAATGGCTTCTTAAATTCAACTCTTCTAAAACTAAAGCAATATTTTTCAACTTGAGAGGAAGTGTTAGTTATCCTAAACTCTTCTTCCAGCAAAGTCAGCTAGAATTTGTCTCTTCGCATAAACATTTAGGGATTTTTTTCTCACATGATCTTAGTTGGTCTACACATATTGATACTATTCTAACTAATGCGTATAAAAAATTGGGCTTATTAAAAAAACTTAAATTTGTAGTAAATCGGAAAACTCTTTCACTCATGTACACAACCTTTATTAGGCCACAATTAGAATATGCTTCACTGGTGTGGGGTGGGTGTAATGTAGGTGATAGCGAAAAATTAGAAAAATTACAATTATGTGCTGCTAGAATTGTCACAGGCTTATATAATTAACTCTGTTAGCTTCTAAAGATGCACTTTACTTTGAAACTGGATGGGAACCATTACATGAAAGAAGAAAAAATACTAGATTAACTACAATGTACAAAATTTATAATAATCCAGTTCCTGAGTATCTGACTGATATAATCCCAAATTTGCGTTGTAATTCATCAAGTTACAGTACGAGAAATTCACATAACTATAACATACCCAAATGCAGATTACAAACCTACAAGTCAACTTTCATTCCCCTTGTTATTGATGAATGGAACTCATTACCTCTTGTTGTAAGAAATTCTTCCTCATTATCTATTTTTAAAAAGTCTATTTCTTATAATAAAACTATGCCACCCTCTTACTTCAGTTACGGAAATCGACGCTTAAATATATTACATACAAGGCTTCGACACAACTGTGTACTTAATAGCGATCTTTTTCGATGTAATATAATCTTGAGTCCCTTATGTTCCTGTGGAAGAGTAGAGGACACCCATCATTATTTCTTCTCGTGCAAAAAATATACAGAAGCCAGAAAAGAATTTTTCGATAAATTTCTGCGAATGGGAAAATTACATACTGTCGATATTCATACATTACTCTGGGGAGATGAAAAGTTAAACAATGTTGAAAATGAATACTTATTTTCTATTGTACAAACATTTATTAAAAAGTCAGGTCGTTTTGGTTGATGCAATAATTACTTCTTGCAAATTCTATACAGCTTGTATATTGTATAATGTTTCTCTGATTATTATGCTTTTCTGTGTTTTATTCATTTTAAGCTGAAACCCATATATGTAAATATGTTTTGGTATAATTCATATGTAGGGAGAGGGCGTATTAAGTTTTAAGAACTTTTGCCCAATCCCAGTTGTAAAGTTTATAGACAATAAAATATGTTCAAACCAAACCAAACCAGCTTTAGTCACCGGAAAATTCCACTGTGCCTGGAAAATTGGGGCATTTAACTACACGAAGCGTACATGTAGTTGTGATTTTCAATCGCCAGGAGCTTTCCCGATTCTCTTCAGAGTAGTGGACAGGCAAAGCCAACATGATCCTCACAACGTCATGGATCCTGAGTCCAATCGTGGCGGTTGTCAGGGGTCCAATGGCCATGAGTGGACTCAGTCAGGACCGCGAGGATGGGCCTACATCTGATATGAATTAATGTAGGCTATGCCTGTCCACTTCTCTAAATGATGGGTATATAGATTTGTGTATTTCTCTAAAGAGAAGAGGGAAAACCCCTGTGTTCATTTTATATAAATGTTGCAAACACTCACATCGACGAAAAGGCAAATTCATAAAACATATTCTTGTAATCTAAGGGGGGAGAGGGGTAGGGGTCGTTGGAGCCTGTATTCTGCCTCTTTCCCAATGGTAGAAAGTGTGGGTTTTCCCAATTTCATAATAAAAAAATCCCCAAATGATGATTCGAAGCATAAACAAATGCTTTTAATATGAATATCAGAATCAGGTTTAAGCTTTCCAATCCCCAGGTTCTGAAAATCAGCTTTTAAGTAATTGAAAATGCTCACAAAAATGTCTCTGATTTCATATACATGTAGTTACGTGTATTTACCCATGGTATTTCTTCAGAATTCAGCTTTATAGTTAATCAAATTATGTATAGGGAAAATTATCAAATGTCAAATACATTTTCAGGAAAGGCAGATAAAAAGGCCAGCTATGCATTTTTTTTAAAATTGAAAATTGATCAACAAGTATATTTTAGAATTTAAAAACCAGAAGTCTCTGATGAGACTGTAGCTCTACTGCTCTGTACGTATAACAAAGGAAAAGTAGCACTTGGATTTGAAACTTTGCAACATGCAACAATAATTAGAATTATGTATCTTAATGTAGTCTACTTCTGTGCCAAGTTATATTGATATCAAACGAAAACTGTAGGAGGAGTAGCGTTTTGAAAGTATTTCACAGAAATTTCTATTTTTAGTAACCATGACAACACCATTCACCGGAAAAAAAACGGAAATACATATTTAAGAGTTTAATCTGTAATTTTAGAACTCTAGAGATTTCTAGACTTTAATTAAAGGTAGTTGTTATAAATTTATTTAACTGTTTAATATTTAAATAAAACATTTTTATTTTAAATTAAGTTTATTATTGAAAGTTATTTCATAACTTTCAATGGCATCTGAAAGAAAATTGTTGTTATAATTAAAATCAATTTAAAATCCTGACTATTACAATGTATCTTAGTGTATTCTAATTGCGTGCCAAATTAGATTGAAATCAGACCAAAACTGTAGGAGGAGCAACGTTTTGTGGGAATTTCACAAAAAATTCTATTTTTAGTAACCATGACAACACCGTCCATCGAAATCAAAAACTGATGCACTAAATTATGTACCTTAGTGTAGTCTACTTGTGTGCCAAGTTATACTGAAATCGGACCAAAACTGTAGAAGAAGTAGCATTTTAAAAGGAATTTCACAGAATTTTCTATTTTTAGTAACCATGGCAACACCGTCCATCGAAATCAAAAACCGATGCATGCACTAAATTATGTATCTAGCTTAGTGTAGTCTACTTGTGTGCCAAGTTATATTGAAATCGGACCAAAACTGTAGGAGGAGTAGCGTTTTGAAAAATTGTTCACAGACAGACAGACAGACGGACGGACGACGGACACCTTACTATCGCATACGCTCTTCTGGTCTCTGACCAGTACAGCTAAAAATAGGGTATTCAGGCATTGCGAGAAAATTGTATGTTTTTCATACTTATGAAGTGTTTTAGTTCTTCTGTTTACTTCAATTTTACATAATTCACAGTGTAATTTTAAAGCTTTTCCTGACATTGCAAAGCATCACAGATCACTTTTAATTTCATATCCATCCTCGCAAGCCAGGGGTCCTGAGTCAACACGTTGGTCCAACGGCAACGTGTTGACTCAGGACCCCTGGCTTGCGAGGATGTTTCATATCGTGCTAATAAACTTTGGTATATAAGGCTAGATTAGGGAAATTTCGATTTCTCTAAGAATGAATTTATTTTTGTATTTCTAAGGGGTACAAAAGTCAACTTTTGTCAACTTTTTGCAAGACCGTTTCTAAGACTTCAAAGAAGCTTGAATCATATTGAGATGCATAAAAAATTGTTGCACGAAAAGATTTCAATTTCAAGCTTCGTGTTGAGCTTTTCTTAATCAAATAATAAACGTTCCTGACTGAGGAGCAGAAATCTTTTAAAAAAACAAAAAAACAAAAAAAACAAAAAAACTATTTAAAACGCATGCTCCAAAAACAGATTGACTGAATTTAATAATACCATGCAGAAGAAAAAATAACTCTTATTTGAATTTATTTACAAAAATATTACATATGATATTTGCCCCAGTTTCAACCAAAACGATGTCGCTATTTTTTTCAAAATAGAAAGGTCCAGGCCCTTGATTTTAAGACCTTAAAAAAAAACTGTAATCCCATACTCTGTCATTTATATGGAAAAATGCGTCATTTGAACACTGTTGAAAGGCCGCAAGTGATCACGCTATGCTTGCATACACATTAATCAATCGACATCGGATGATAGGTTCTTCACCCATGATTTTCAAGTAAAGGAAAAAATCATTCTAACTAGTAATACTTTGCAACAACGCAAAGATACAATGCCATATTGCAAATTCGAATCAACTCGAAGATCCGCTCCTTTTTTTTCAAATGTCACTCCTTTTTCTCTGTCCTCGTAATACTGCGTCTCCAGAACGATTAACTGGTTTAGTTATTTCATTACAATGAAGTATGTAACGCCATTAATTAGATTAACGATATAACGCATTGCTTAATCCCTGCAATCAATACGTCACGAGTTGAATACCCTAATACACAATGACCTCAAACCTCAGGCAAGCTTCATTATAACGACACAGCGCCACCTATAATAAACTGCTGACGGACAACTCAATCAGATTACAACATTTCCTACGCGGTATATAGCGCTTAGGAAAAAATTCTTATTTTAAAGTATTGATGAGGCAATAAATGTCTATTTGATTTATTTTTCTCACTTTCTCAATAAATTTTGTTCCTTTTCTGAAAGAAAATATTTCAGAAGTAGGAAAACTTGAGATAATAATTCGGTACTGTTTATGCTAATTTCTCAGATATCACTACGCTCGTGACCTGCTGGCACAATTTGTGTCTATTTTTGGACGTTGGACGGATGTAAGTGTGTGTGCTCTGTGAATTTAGGTCGAAGTAGGTTAAAATAGGGAAGTTTTCATGAATGCTGTGGCAAAATTATGTCAAACGAAATGAAAGGTAAGAGTCACTCAATTTATGAAAGAGGCATGGATTTTCAGAAATGTGGGCTTCGATTGTCTTTTTGCATACGTGTTTGAGAAAATGGCGCTAAATTTTCTCAAGCCATGTGTTGTGAGGGGGTTAAAATGCACACATTGTACAAAACCGAGAAATGCACAATTTTTGTGAACATTTCAATGCAAATTTTGAATAATTTTTACGTATGCATGATGATTGTGCGTACCTGGAAAGTGCTTCGTGTAAGGAATACAACAGGTGCGAAAAACCCCATAATTCATATATCACTTCGCATGGGCCTATCTCGGTTGCAAAAAAACGCTACGATCGACACACCCCCCTTCTTCACGAGCTTAGGTTGTTAACGATGTAGATTCCACCAAACTGTGATAAGTGTCAGTTTTTATGCATTTTTGTATTCTATAGGAAAACCATTACGCATGTGTCCAATGGACGCCAAAGTTATGAATGGTTAAATTGTAAACAGTCCATTATTTACACAGATATGGTCTAAATAGAAATGACCTTTGATCCCGGACGAGTCCATATTCACGAACTAGGGATGACAGGTTACGTGTCTTCTTATGTGAAGCCGTATCTTTTTTTTAAGCTTTAAATGGCAGTTTTTATTTGAATGGATGAGTGTTTTTGTAATCTGACTTTGTTGCACTAGAATTAAATTTTTAAAAAGGGATGTTCCTTGCCTTTTAGGTCGCATTACATGGTTTAATATTGGTATATAATTTATGTTCTTAACTGAACAAGCAATATCATAACTCCTTAAAGGGCAAATAAAAAATCTTTTTTTTCAAGAGTAACTGTTTCATTGAAAGCAAGAATTTTTAAATATCTTTTGTCTTTCATGTTGGAAATTTGTATGATGTTTTAAACTTGTCTGCTTTCTTAATACTATCATGATGATTTAAATAATGTTTGGTGTTGTTTTGAAGCTGCAAATTTTTACTTGAAAAAGGCATGATTATAGTACTCAGCTTCTGAAGATTTCTGCCATTGGCATAATTTAGATCACAGTTGAAATTTTGTAAATTCCTTTCCAGAAAAACAGATAAACTCAAAAATTTCAGAAAGAATTTGTTCAACATCTGATAAACTCTCCATTGCAGGTAATTGCATCCTCTATGTTGCAAATGAAATGACAATAAAAATATCCATTAATCAGTTTAATGGCAATATCTAGTTTCTACAGATCTATTCATTTATTAATAAATTTTGGACAAAATACCATAATGTGTTAAATTCAAATGTAATGCTGAACATATTTTGATAGAAACAGGTTGATCAAGATTTCACCCTCAACACAAAGTCATCTTTTATCACTAAGTAGGTAAAAAACTTAATGAAATATTATCTAGACATAGCAAAGTGATGTTCCAAATTTAAGGGGAAATTAATATTAGCTTTGCCCCAGGATTCATAATGGCTAATAGCCATGAAATATTGTAGTTATTTTTTTTAAATGTTGAGGTTCAGGTAAAGGCTATATCATTTTATATTGTTCATGACATTAAAGGGTTTTTATCACGTCTCAAAATTTTTTGATATGACAAAGTTTACATGCTATTAAAATCATATATTTAAAAATCTTTGCTAGAAAATTAATATTTTTGATGTTTCAGCGATTCAAAGTTTGAATTTCTCAATATGCATATTTTGATCGCCGATGTTACGCGCCATTGCTCTGACGTCATAGGTGTCAATCCTGGTCAAGCGAAGTACTTATTGTGTATACAAAAGGGCTCATTTGTTTTGTCTATTAAACCTGTAAGAAAATAATTAAGTGATAATTTTATAATTGACAGCTAGTAAGGTATAATTTATGCTTTGTGATGCACAAATGTGCACAAGAAAAGTTTTAGGAAGAATTTTTTCCCCACATTTCCTGGACAGAATCTAGTAGGAATGTTGTGAACTTCGTAATGGCGTACGGCGCCATTGAAGAAGTGTCATTTCTAGTACATGATATTCACTGCTATAACGAGAAGACATACAGGATTTATTTATATATAATAAATTAAAATAATAATGAAGGAGAATTTAAAATTCCCATATTTATAAATGTTTACGAAGTTAAACTTTAGTAATTCGTTCTATTTAGTTGAAGTCCCGAGTTGTCAACGGCTTCGTCTTCGGTCATATCTCTTCAATTGTCGGCATATTTTCTGGTTATTTCTTTCTGCTAGAGTTCATACATAAAAGATTGCCCGTCCATATCCAAAGAAATATAGCCGATGTCAAAATTTCAACCAGCCATATTGTGTATTCTATTTATTTAGCGTAAAAATCTATTCAATATATTTTTTCTTATGATAAGCCTTACGAGTTCTATTGACCATTGACACCTATGACGTTTCAGTACCACGTGACCCCTATCTAATTAGTGGAGATTTTTAATTCGAGGACCCTATATTACAGGCGTTTTATCGTCTAATTACGGCCGCTTTCAACATTATTTCATAATTAAACAATAATTATATGTTTCAAGAATATAATCGTGTTTCATTTTTAAGAAATTTAGATACATGATAAAAACCCTTTAAGTACGTGAGTAAGAGAAGTCAACAGAGCACTTAATATGCTAAAAGACAAGAAATCATTATAAGTAAGCAACTGTTTGACATTTGTAATGTATGGCATTGAGTATTTTGTTTTATTATACTTTCATGTTAAATACTAAAATCTGATTGGTTTAGATGAATTTAACAATCCGTAATGTTACCCTCAGCGTTAGCAACACACTTGACAACGGGTAACATTACGAAAATATCACATGCGTTCAAATCATGTGCGTACGGTTCACCGTAGAATTCTCAAAACGTCGGTTGTGCGTTTGAAAGAAGCCGCATAAACGACGTCAGTAAAAGCTTGCATCCGATGTAGCTTACTTGAAAAAACAAACGACAGACGAAACATCCTTGCGAGTGCAAACTTTAGATGATAAAGGACTTTTTGAGTAGCAAACAAACAATAGAGAGGTTGGTAAATCTTTCCCGAAGCTTTCTTATTGAGAAAAATAGAAGCGGGGAGTTTGAAAGCTTTCTAAGCATGAACTTAACGACGATCTCCGAATTTTTTTTTATGACATCCGAAATCAGTAAGACATTCAGTATAATAAAATAAATAGTGCACGTTTTTGAGGGGTAACAGTTGAAATTGACACCCCTCGGAAAACCATTGTCAACCTCCGCTGACGCGTCAGTTGACAATGGTTTTCCTTGGGGTGTCAATTTCAACTGTTACCTTCAAAAACGTGCACTATTTATATAATATTATACTTTAATGCAAATTAGTTGAATCTGATTCGTTGAGAAACATTTGTTAAAAAATACTATTACCCGCTGAATGATGAAGCCATGCCCTCCCACGTAGAAACAGTCAACATTGCTTGATGACGGGTGATATTCCAAAAAAAAATAGTGACTGCGCAGAAGTTCAAGGTTCACTGTTATATGCATTTGTATAAAACATTCAGTATAATAAAATAAATATTGCATGTATTTGAGTGTAACATTGAAAATTTTCACCCCAAGAAAACCATTGTCAACTTAGGCGCAGCCGAGATTGACAATGGTTTTCGAGGGGTGAAAATTTTCAATGTTACACTCAAATGCATGCAATTTTTATATAATAGCTTATTTACAGTGATACTGTATAATGTTAATATATATGTAGTGCTTTAGACAGAATCCATGCTTTAACTTGATATAGACAAAAAGTTTTCTGGAAGGAGGGAAAAATGTATCCAAATGAAATACTTGTTCAGTTCCACCCCCCCCCCCCCCATTGTCTCCTGAAGATTTCCAATTTCCTACATCTTGGGTAGCTACAGCTGACAGGAACTAATTTTTTACAGCTATAAATTATGGAGGAAATTGCTATGGCTGCTTCAAAGTGAAAGGGGGGTTGGGGTTGTTAAAGTCCTTGTTGGGCATCTTTTTCATGTAATTTGAAAACGGTTTCCATTCTGAGGCTGTATTGTGGACCCTACATTAACGCTCATTCTCCCAGGGTCAATACTAATGTTTACAGTATGCTGCTATATTGTAGGGTCAATTCTAGTGGTTACAGTATGCTGCTACACTGTAGGGTCAATTCTAGTGGTTACAGTATGCTGCTACACTGTAGGGTCGATCCTAATGGTAACAGTATGCTGCTACACTGTAGGGTCAGTACTAGTGGTTACATATGCTGCTACACTGTAGGGTCAGTACTAGTAGTTACAGTATGCTGCTACACTGAAGGGTCAATACTTATGCTTACAGTATGCTGCTACACTGTAGGGTCAATGCCAATGCTTACAGTATGCTGCTACACTGTAGGGTCAGTACTAGTGGTTACATATGCTGCTACACAGTAGGGTCAATGCCAATGCTTACAGTATGCTGCTACACTGTAGGGTCAGTACTAGTAGTTACAGTATGCTGCTACACTGTAGGGTCAATACTTATGCTTACAGTATGCTGCTACACTGTAGGGTCAATGCCAATGCTTACAGTATGCTGCTACACTGTAGGGTCAGTACTAGTGGTTACATATGCTGCTACACTGTAGGGTCAGTACTAGTGGTTACATATGCTGCTACACTGTAGGGTCAGTACTAGTGGTTACAGTATGCTGCTACACTGTAGGGTCAGTACTAGTGGTTACATATGCTGCTACACAGTAGGGTCAATGCCAATGCTTACAGTATGCTGCTACACTGTAGGGTCAGTACTAGTGGTTACATATGCTGCTACACTGTAGGGTCAATGCCAATGCTTACAGTATGCTGCTACACTGTAGGCTCAATACTAATGGGTACAGTATGTTGCTACACTGTAGGGTCAGTACTAATGGTTACAGTATGCTGCTACACTGTAGGGTCAATACTAATGGTTACAGTATGTTGCTACACTGCAGGGTCAATTCTAGTGGTTACAGTATGCTGCTACACTGTAGGGTCAATACTAATGGGTACAGTATGTTGCTACACTGTAGGGTCAGTACTAATAGTTACAGTATGCTGCTACACTGTAGGGTCAATGCTTATAAGGGTGCAACGATAAACCGTTTGACGGTATATTGCGGTATATTTTTCCATGGTTCCGGTTCAATTGGTCCAGAATTATCCGTTTTGTCCGTTTTATTTCCTTCTTTACTTTTTCAAAATGGCTTCCACGCAAAACGTGAGGTCGCCGTTAATGCATTTACGGCAATTAAACTCATCTCCAGCATCTTACAGACCTCAGATTTAACACGGAGAGGGGCTTAATGTGATTATAAGTTATAGATGTTAAGACAAATGATAAATCCTTTAGATCTAAACGTATTCTTTGGTAATACACGATATTCCATCACGTGTGTATTTCGATGAAAATTCGCTGTCTTGTTGACTAAAACGTATTAACACGAGAAATATGACAACTGGTTTTCTACGTAAATAAAAGAATGAAAATCTTCCTTTTTCACTCCTATTTAAAAGGAAGATTATTAGGAAAGGTCCCCGTTGTTCCCTGTAAATGTTCATCATTGGTTTAAAATGACACAACTCAAAGATCTATTTAACAATCCAATTCAAGTTAACAAAATTTTATTTTAATTATTATTAAAAAATATGAACATTTTGTATAACCCTGTCAAGTTTTAAAAAAATATGATGACAAACTTGAAAGGCTTTTTAACCTTCTTATGTATCGTGATACGTATCGTATCGTGAACTGAATACCGTGATACGTATCGTATCGTGAGGTTAGTGTATTGTTGCACCCCTAAATGCTTATGCTTACAGTATGCTGCTACACTGTAGGGTCAATGCTTAGGCCAAAAAAAATAATAGTCTTGTTTCCTGCTACCAGCCTGAAAAAAATAGGGTAGGTAGGTAGGAAAATTATTTTATTTTATATTTTTATTTTATTTTTTTCCGACAGCATTTTTTTGGATAAGAACTAATTCAAGATCAAATTAAACATGTCACAGGTCAATGTTGTCTTTTAAAATTAAATTTCATGTCTTTTTATGCACAACGCAAGTGGTATTTTATGAAAGTCCATATTTAAAACAAGAATTTCATGAAATGTTTGTTTTGTGTTAACACGGAAACCGATTACGGTGACAGAACGATGAAATTCTGGAAATTCCCAATTTTTTTTCTTCCAAAACTTAAAAAAAACTTTAGGGTCGGGTGCAAAAAAATAGGGTAGGTCGGGTAGCAGGAAACAAGACTATTATTTTTTTGGGCCTTATGCTTACAGTATGCTGCTACACTGTAGGGTCAATACTAGTGGTTACATATTTGTGAGCTATTCCTTTGGGTGATTTTGATAAGTTTCTGATAAGTTGATTATGGATTTCTTTCTTTCAAATCAATTTATTTCTTCTAAGGATTGGTTGAGAATAAAATTTTAATTTGGCAAAACACTCTCCAACAGAAGAAATTTAAAAAAAAATATTTTAATATTTAATTAAAAGGATTTTTTTTCTTTGTCTTATTTTTTTTCTTTTCTGTTATTTTATTCACTTTAATGTCCTTATAACTCTTCCAAAAATACCTCAGTATATTTCAGAACCTTGACATTTGATTCTCACATGGTTGGTCCATTAATTTTGAAGGCATGTCTTACAAGTCTTATGATCATGATAATACCTCTTGGGTGACATATTGTTTTATGTTTCACTACAACACTGCGGTCGCTCTCGTCAGGTTCTCTATTATCTTTAATTGGGGCAAATAGAATTCTCCAGTCCTACATCCATGAAAGTTCTTTTTTTCTATTTTATTAATATGTTAAATTTCCAAAATTTACCCTAACCCCCCCCCCCCCCACCCCCTTACACACACACAATATTTAGATGTAATTTTAAATATCATTTCGTTAACTTCCTATATTAAGTTAATGCTAATTTTCCCAATAGTCCTAACCCACCCAACCCCCCAACCCCCAAAAATGTGGATATATATACAAAACTTCCTACTTAATATGTTCCTGTATTTAGTTGACAACAAACACTAGAAATGAGTGATTCCTAAAGGTCAGTAATTGGGATTTTAACAGCACTGGATCCAGTATCAAGAAGTGGTCTGTGAGAGCCTCGACTCTTACATTTCCTGTTCAACATAAATATTCTCTGTGTTCATGAGAAATCATAAGGCTATGAAGTAGATATTGGCGAGACTGTACATATAAATATGTAGTACTACGTAATTATTTTACTTTGTTGTATTTCAGTTGGAATGAGAATGTACAGTGAATATCAAAAATGTTAGCCATATTAATTCTTTGTGAAGTACAGATGCTACAAAGATGTCTGCCATTTTTTATACACACTGTGCTCGGTGCATAAGTACTAGCAATTGGCTCTGCCATTTAATGAGAGGAAATCTTTCACAGTATACCTACATCTTAGATAAAAAGCTAATAAATGCAGATATACATCTATACATGCTCAATTTCCAGATTGGGAAAAAAAGTACATTTGATATAGAGAGAAAAAAAGAAACGGACAGAATAATAACACAAGAAAAACAAATGAATTATTTATTATCTCCCGTCAAGGGGTTGGTATTGCCTGCGTGCTATAGGTTGTTGAACCTTCTCTCTCTCCCCGATAGCTTTGTGAAGACAACATGCAAGAGGAAAAATTATTGATCCATGGAGGAACATTGGCATGAACTTCTCCGTGGTTGATTGAACTCCCGCTATAATGACTGGTAGGTCGTTGACCAGACCTTGATAATTTTTTTTTAATCCCACTGTCGAGAGTCTACGATGTGTATTGGTTGAGGAGCAGATTTTTTTTTGTAACAAACAAAATAATTCTAGTGTCATTTCACAGTTGGGAAATTTGTTAGAATTTGAAAAAAAAAAATCATTAAAAAATTTGAAACTTTATCATATTTTTGGATTTACTATGTTTGTGCTGTGGATGAATTTTTTATTTTAATTTAATTTTTTATTTTGGATTTAAAAAAAATGTGTGTGAAAAGAAAAATTGGTTTACTACATAAACCTTTGAAAGACTTTATCGAGTGTTCAAAACACACAAACTTTTAATTAGAGAGGGAAGGATTTAAAATACAGTTATTATTAACCAAAATGATATTTGAGGATTTTAATTGGCCAGAATTTCCTACAGAAGTATGGGATTATTTATTTCCACCAACTACCAGTAAGTGATTTCCCCTATAATTTTTATACTGACAAACACTCTTTAAGTTTCTAGTATTGAAATTGTACAGTTTTCGTGATACAGCCCCATAACAGTGACCTCAGGAAAGCCAGGTTGACCTTAATTGACCTTATGTGAACCTTGCAACCTCATATGAAGGCAAGAAAGGTATTTGTTTAGGATGTTCCATATTTGATTATGAATTCTATGTGCAATTGTTAACATGCGCCTCCCTAGAACTTGTGACTCATGACTCATTAATAATTAGTGACTTTAGATAATTGAAGTACATGTACTGGTAATTATGTTTTCATCAAGTGTAAAGAAGTAACTAGTAAACAAGATTTTTTTTTTCTTGAGAGCATGTTTCCTTTCTGATCCCAGTTTAATAGGAACCTCCAGATAAAAACTAGAGGTTATAAAACTCACTTCTGTTTTTCAGGATAAAATACGTAGAAGATTTTAACAAGTTTTTGAATTCAAAGTAAAAATGCCAAACTTTTTCTGTAAATATAAGTCAACTTTGAATATAACGGAACATACGCGGACATACTTAAATTTGGAATTCTTCTCAAATTCTTTGTAAAGTAGAAGGAAGTACTGGCATACAAAATCTGTCACAAACAGTATATTTGAAGCCTAATTTATAATACTAAATAGAATACAAGATATTAAATATTTAAAATAGTTCGGTTACAAATTAAGTGTTAATATATGGCTAAATTAACATGATTAAATTTTGCCCTAATCTTAATATATATATTTGCCATGTAACATTGAATGACTCTATCCTGAGTATACCACCCGGGTAACCCTGATTGAGACAGAAATATGAAATGGTTGTGTGTGGGTGTATGAGATTTTTATAAGAGATAAGACCAGGCCTTCATGTCATCAAAAACATACTTGTTCTTATCTCTATGCAACTTAATCCACACCGTGTGTTCAAGGAGAGGTCATCAGGACAGATAAAAGTCAGGGGTGGATCTTAGTTCTGTTTCAGCGGAATATATTAGAAGTACTAAATCAGTTATTTTAATAAATGTTTGATGCTTCTTTTTTTGGTATAATTATTTTGGTGGTGCTGATTTTTAATTACTCTAAACATTCTGTAATGATTTGAAAAGGAACCAGAGACTCGGCTGTATAACTAAGATAAGTGAAGTATGGACACATATTGTTTGATCAAGGAAGTTAAAAAAAATTGTAAATGCCATCAATTCAGAGTAGCTGTTTGCAGTGGAAGCTTTGAAAGATGGTTCTTTTGAGGAGACTAGCAGAAATGATAGGCATGATTGGTGGGGGGGGGGGGGGGGGCGGTTACAGTAAGGTGTTAACAGAATTTGTTGTTGATTTGCTAAACAATCAAACCTCAATGTCTTGAACTCAGTGGGACAGAGAAAAAACCTTTGATATATTGGAGGATTTGACATACTGTATGTGTACTTAAAAAAGTGGGCTTCATATACATGTATTGGCGCAGACAACGATGTGCTAATTCATGAATACCGCTAAGAAATCATGTATAAATACAATACACGGCACGGACATGTATAGCACTAATTTATTATTTCGCCAACAACTTTGTACCCAGTGATTGTGCTAAATTTTGAATATGCCAATTTTTGTACACGTACAGTAATTCTTACAGATGTTCAGGTTAAAACTCATCAAGAAAAAAAATGTGTTATAATTTATTTTGACATATCCATGGTCAATGTTTGATTTACAGAAGTTCCACTGTAATTGATTTTGATCCTTTCATTTTGCCAGATTTCACTGCTACAGCCCTTGACCAGTCCTCAGTTCCTTCCCTTGATCATGGAGTCGTGTCGATGTCCTCAGAAGGCATGATGCAGATCATTCCCCCACCCACAGTCAGCGTAAATAAGTCCCCTCATGGAGGGCCACTGGACAATCTGAAAAGTAAGTAAACCCTTCACCCACAGTCAGCCTATATAAGTCCCCTCACGGAGGGCTGCTGGACAATATCAAAAGTAAGTAAACCGTAAACCCACAGTCAGCGTAAATAAGTCCCTTCATGTAAGGCCAATGAACAATTTCAAATTAAAAGCACTAAGTAAATTAATCACACAGCAAGAACCTGTGGACATTCTAAAATTAAGTTAAAAGCTAACTGCTGGATCTCAGAAGTTTGGTAATAGGTAAATAAATTTATACATATTGAAAAAGGGTAATGATGAATATCTCATGTTTTATTTCAAGTTTTGACACTGAAGTAAAGCACTGCTAGATAGATAAACAAAATAGTTTGAAAGAGAATGAAAAATTGCTGTTTAAATTAACTCTGGTTATGTTTCAGTGATGCCAGGATCAGATCACACAGAAAACATGATCCACGCCTCTCCCCCACAGAAAGCCAAACCTGACAGTAGTCGCAAGCCTGCAGAGTCTACCAAAAGTAAATATACTTACTCATAAATATAGAAGACTTAACTATACAGCAGTCAAACCTGCTGAATCTAGGAAAGCAAATATTCTGTATGCATGAATTTGAATCTACATAAAATCTAGTTTTAAAAAAGCCTGCAGGGTATACCAAGAAAAAATATCTTCAAAATATGTATCCCTAAATATAGGAAAACAAACCAGAATCAACAGAAAACAAGCAACTGTACTGAATCAAAGAAAAAAAATCACAGATAGAAACTTGCATTACCAAGTTCACAAAATCTTAAGTCGTTCATATTTAATCTTGTTAACATATTTAAAGCTAAATGCCAGAGAGAAGTTTTCTATTTAGTCCCAAAAGGCAGGAAAAGTATACTATCCTCTTAATGATGAACAACTACAATCTTGTTTTGTAAAACTCCTAGATTTAAAAAAAAAACCTTTGTTGTTAAAAAAAAAAAAAAAAAACAGCCATGATTTGGATCTTTGAGCATGTTCACATATTTCTTTATAGCTCTTTATAACAGTTAATCACATTTTGGATAGGTACAAATTTCAAATTCTCATTCATCCCCCCCCCCCCCCCCAAAAAAAAAAAAAAAAAACATAAGAACACACACACACACACATTACACAGAAGCCATTAAAGCAGCAGATTCCTCTTTTAATGGAAAAATTCAATGAAGAAATTACTAGAACTGTGAATTTTAGTTTGATGTTTTGACATTTCATATTTCGTTGTCCTATATTTCAGCTCAGATAGAGGTTATCCCTTGTAAGGTGTGTGGAGACAAGTCCTCCGGTGTTCATTATGGAATTATTACCTGTGAGGGTTGTAAGGTGAGTAGGAGGTTTGTAATTAAAAATCTCCAGGTGTAGGCTATAAAATTATCACCTGTGGGCAGTGGTGCCAGGGTCATATGTAAGTCATATGTGGATATTGTGAAGAATTCTGGAAGCGCTGCAATATATTGCAATATTTTAAATTGTATTGTGGGAAAGATATTGCAAAATTTATTTTTAAAAGTTGGTGTTGGGAGGGGGGGGGGATAAAAACAAGGATCAAAAGGTGTTTTTTCCCATGAAGATGTATAATTAGCAATTTTTGTAAAAAGTACACGTACTAAATAAATGGATATTTATGTGTGTTGTTAATTACATGACAACATGAATTAGTAGTACAAAGTGTAAACATGGGGTTATTTCCATGATTCCAATACATGTATAATGTGTTGTTGATACTAAATTAAAGTCTGTACAAAGATATTGGCACATGGGAGGATATTTATGCAAAAAATTACTTGCTGGTTAATTAAGCTCAAATACCCCCACTCATAAATTCCCATGTTCACAGTATTTAAGCAAGGTTTTCTTTAGAATTGATTTATGAAGTGGTTTAGGCCAACTCAATGTAATTCTATGGTTTACATTACCAGGGATTTTTCCGTCGGAGTCAGGCTGGTCCTGTGAATTACCAGTGCCCAAGAAACAAAAACTGTGTCATAGATCGAGTCAACCGGAACAGGTGTCAATTCTGTCGCCTCCAGAAGTGCCTGGCACTGGGCATGTCTCGAGATGGTAAGTCAACCACGACCAGTCTCACAAGGGGAGACAACCATTTTCTGATACCTAGTTTCAGTAAAACATCAAGCAAGCTTATACTGAATTCCCATTCATAGGAAAGGGATTTTCATTCTTTTTAGTTTTAAAAGGTATTTTGAACTTGTCAGATTTCGTGAGAAAAAAAAATAAAGAAACAAGATTGTTTGAGCCTTGTTCTTTGGGATAGTTATGTTTTATTGACTGAAAATTCAGAGGAAATTGAGTATTGAAAGAAAGGGGTATGTTCTAGCAAGTCAGCTGACCATGTTACATGTATGAAGTCAAGTTCACGTGTAGAGGTTTGGGGGTAGATCTTTTCAAGAAAATTCAAGTATGTTTTCAAGAATTCCTTGTATACTTTTCCCCTCAAATAGGTAGATGTGACCATAAAATTTCTTATTTCAGTGATTTTTCTACACCAAATTTAGGTCCGAATATCGGCCTTTTCCCCTGTCAAAAATTACCAAGTTTTTTCCCAATTTAACTTGCTTTTTTTCCCAAAATAAATCCATGATGAAAAATATAAAGACAATCATTGACAACTTTCAAAGACTAAAAAAAAATAAGAAAGTTATAAAATTTAATGTACATGTAGAACTGTGTCCAGTTTGTTATTTTATAAGCAATAAATTGAATAAATTATGTTAAAATGACTTATACATTCCATTTTACCAGTAAATTAAAGTTAACAACAATCTTATTGATTTTTCCCAAGTTGGCACAAATGTCGATGATTTTTCCCAAATGTAAAGGCCCAGGCCCCTTTTAAAAAATGTAGAAAAATCACTGTATTTATTCCTGATATGCTGATTTCTCTCTTATAGCTGTGAAGTTTGGCAGAATGTCAAAGAAACAGAGAGAAAGAGTGGAAGACGAGGCCAATTATGTCAAACAGTCACGCATGAACGGGTATGAATCCTCCTGTGGAATGCCATCTAGCAACAACAACAATCAGTTTTCTATGTAAGACTTTGTAGCCAAACAACCCACAAGTTGTTGTCAAACCTGTATCCAAGTAACCCAGAAGTCGTCAACCTGTATCCAAGTAACCCACAAGTTGTTAACATGTATCCAAGTAACCCATAAGTTGTCTGTATCCGTGTAAATCTTAAATTGTCAACTTGTATCCAAGTAACCCTAATCAACCTAATTAACCAACAAGTTGTCAACCGGTATCCAAGTAACCCACTAGTTGTTAACCTGTATCTAAGTAACCCACAAGTTGTCAACCTGTATCCAAGTAACCCACAAGTCATCAATCTGTATCCAAGTAACCCACAAGTTGTCAACCTGTATCTAAGTAACCCACAAGTTGTCAACCTGTATCTAAGTAACCCACAAGTTGTCAACCTGTATCCAGGTAACCCACAAGTTGTCAATCTGTATCTAAGTAAACCACAAGTTGTCAACCTGTATCTAAGTAACCCACAAGTTGTTAACATATATCCAAGTAACCCACTAGTTGTTAACCTGTATCTAAGTAACCCACAAGTTGTTAACGTTTCCAATTGACCCACAAGTACTCGTCCTTAATATAAGTAACCCACAAGTTGTAAATGTGCGTCTAAGTAATTAACAAATCAAATATATATTCAAATGATCAACCTGTATCCAATCATGAGTTGTCAAACCTGTATCTAAGTACCCAACTAATTGTCAAATCTATATCTAAGTAACTCGTAGTAATTCTTAAGTGGAAGATATCACTTAAATTCAGTGCTTTCAATATTTTGGTTAATTCAACAGAACAAAATACTTTCAGGACTTAAGTTTATTCAACAGAACACAGTACTTTCAGTACTTTGATTTATTCAACAGAAAAATTAAATATTACAGAACAGGGGTGTGCAATTAAAAAAATCAAGTACTAGCCCACGGGCTAGTGGCAGCAATAAAGTTACTAGCCCCAAGTAAAAAGTTACTAGCCCAAATGTAGAGGGGGGGAGGGGGAGGGGTAACAACTAATATTGAAAAAAAGATAACTGTTAAAAAAGTCAGGGTTTTAAGGTCATTTTATTTTAAATTAAAGTTTAATTCTCACTAGTAAAATTGAATCATGTATAAATTAATTATTATGATAGAAAATAAAAATGAATTTAAATAAATTATTTTTCCTTTTTCTGTGCATTGCAGTAGCTCATCTAAAACAAGGTAAAATCATTTTTTTCATCTGAAATTATTAAAAACACTGGAAATATATTTTACATAAGTCACATAACACTTATCTTTCAGTTGATTGAGTCATTTGAGTGATTGTAAATTATTTAATGAGATATTTGCCTTTATTTACCATAAACACATTAATGGAGGAAATTCGGATTAGAAAAAATGATTGTTTTTGGAAGTAAATAAGTCAGGAAGTGCTGCAAATTGGATAAGATTATGGAGATTTATTTTACGAACAATTGGAGCATGCTGTCTGGAAACTTTTCATTGGTTGGGAATTTAATAGCAAAAAATGAGTGAAAATACCGGTAGTGATTTTCATATATTACATTGGTATTTTTTAATTTTTACTAGCCCATGGGGCTACCTGCATGCTGAAAACCACTAGCCCGACCCCAAAAAAAGGTAGCCCTGGGCGTCGGGCGATGCTAATTGCACACCCCTGCAGAACTACATGATGAAAGACATCTTATCACAAGTTACTGACATTTCTTTTCCCTGCTCTTAATAAGCCATTTTTGTATTAAGAACATTAACACCCCAGAGAAAATCCTTAACTGTGTAAACATGATAAATAGATAAGTATAATAGACTTGTTAAAATCTGTCTGAAGTTTAAGTCCTGGAATTAATATCACAGATCTATACATGTATGTCAAATTAAATGCTGTACATCTACATTTAATTTATGTTTAAAAGTCAAAGGCAAAGTAGGACAGAAATAATTAGGTAAAATTGGGAGTTACCTCCCTTAAAATTCTCTGGAAAACATTTGGTGGTTTGTATGTAAAAGAGTTAATTTACAGAAATTACCAGTCTACTTCATTGGTTCAAAAGGTCCACCCTTCAGGATTCTGTGTGTGGTTGATTTAAAATGGAGAAGGGGGGGGGAGCTTAGCTGCCATATGAAAACCTGGAAGCTCCCATGATTAAGGGTTTTGTTTGTTCTGTTTTTTTAAGAACATTTTTTGTGTAGTTTTATCTATATTTTATGTGTAATAAGAACAATATCTAACAACAAAAATTTAATTTATTCATTAGAACTACTAAAGTTTGGGTCACAAAATGGCAAGAGATTACATTTTGGTTGCTGTATTATATAACCAGTATGTTATAGTGTACAGGCTTCATTGACAAAAATTTCATATGTTATACAATTCAGACTTGTAATGATTTCCCTTAATTATCATGTCTGAAGGGAAATGACAGTTTGTTTCTTATACCGTTTAATGACCTGTCTATAGTCTGTTAATTCATTAAAAATAAAGATTAGTGGCTTGTACGGGCCTACATGTTTCCTTCATGGTATTTCAAAGTACAAGTGGTTTATCTTACCTACTAGAATTCAGATGTGTAAAGTTTCTACTGTTCTTTGTTGTAATTTTGTTTGGCAAAAATTCATTAAAATTATGTTAATCCTAGCTTTAGATGTACAATGATTCCAAAATACAGTGAAGAAATGTTTAGAAGGAGGTTTACTATGTATTTTTAGCTATTATGATGTAATATCTATTTTTAGATATAATGACTGTCACCTGATGTATACCTCAAATGGCTATGCCTACACCCTCCCCTCTCCAGCCTCAGAGAGTCAGCCAGAGACGCCTGTGTCCCCCGAACCTCCGAGTTACAACTCGACTCAGGTCACCTCCCAGCCCCACCCCATAGCTCTCCTGAGGGCAGTCGACCTCATGGATCCAGGTAGGTTACAAAGGTCAAAGTTCAGCCGCAATATCATATAAAGGTCAAAGCGAAGTGATAGAAGATACTATAGATATTTTGGTTAGCTAAATATGCAAGTAACATGTCTGTTTTCAGTGTATTTTTATTCAAATCTTGGCAAACAAAAAAAAATTCCTTGCAATATCTCTAAACTTTTGAATAAGAAATTCTACCCCCTCCTTCCCTCCCTCTTAACTGTATGATTTGTAATGTGTATTGACTGTTTCATGATAACTGCGGTACTGCTCTTTTGCAGGGCAAAATAATAAATTTTGGTGAAATATGACGTAAAAGCAATTGTTTAATATACGTCATTTAATTATCTGTCATCAAAAACTTCGCCAAAAGTTATTAATTTGCCCTGCAAAAGAGTAGTACCGCAGTTATCGTGAAAGGGCTAATTGGATTTATCTCCCTTGATTAACAGTGATGCTTGGGAAGGCAGTGACGGAAGCCCACATGAGGACATGTTTATACAGTAAAGATCAGATAGAACACATCAAATCCAGCCTAACACCTCAGGACATCATAGATGCCTTCAAATCTATGGTATGTAGACACCTCTTGTATAGCACATCTCCTTAAGATATGACATATATGCCTTTGAAATTAATTAAGTAGGTGCATCATACCTGCAGAGTATTAATTCAAATTATTATATAGTCTATTTATAGTCCCTATATAATCTATACAAACGCAAACGGTCCATAATACTACATATTCACTGGTTTTGAAGCCGTATTCACCGGAGGGTCGGTGCACGTGCAGCGGCATTGTGACGTCACAATCAACACCTCAAACAACGTTGTAAACAATGGTTGCAACGGTCGCAGCCAGCTGTGTATCTGAGCAGGAAAAACATAAGCCAAGCCTATCTCAGGATTATTTTCTAAACATTTCGATGTCTTACAAACAGCAAAAGGAAAACACGGAAGCTATAACTTGTAATCGGGACATTTATTTTATTTTTCTACGACAGAAATTCGTAAATGAAAGTGGTATCATCACGCAGCCTTCAATGTCTTATTTATTCAAATCCGGACTATATAATAAAACAATTATGGACTCTTTTGGTGGTGAATATGGTTTGTTATTCACCAGAAAAATATCAATATTGACCGAGGCTTCGCCTCGGTCAATATTGATATTTTTCTGGTGAATAACAAACCATATTCACCACCGAAAGAATCCATAATTGTATAATATCATAAATGCCTTCAAATCTTGGGTAAGTTTTTCCTGAGTAATTTGCCTTGGTAACCTTTGAACTATATATATCATGTAGATTTTTTTTTTGGTCTGTTGAATTACAGTTCACAGTTGTAAAAAAAATCAATAGCTAACCATGTGAGCTTTGGCATAGGAATTCTTTTGTAAATAATACATTTTATATAAATTATTTCATGCAAAAGGTAAATATGGAAGAATAAACCTCATTTTACATGTGTTTCTACCCCTATATTTTCAAACATTACTGATTAAAAGTTCGCCTGGCCATATCAAGTCAACTTGACGCAGACAATGCTTGATGTTTGCCTGGCCATAGCAAGTCAACTTAACTTTACGCAGACAATGCTTGACGTTTCCCAGGCCATAACAAGTCAACTTAACTTTACACAGACAATGCTTAACAGTTTTTGTATTTCATTTTTATGATTTGATCGTATGATTATATGTAAATTATGTGTTAAACAGACAAGAAGCCAGCTGTTGTCAGAAGTGGCCGAGAAGATTACCATTGCTGTACAACAAATCATCGAGTTCGCCAAAATGCTACCGGGGTTCATGGATCTTTCTCAGGACGATCAGATCATGCTGCTGAAAGCAGGTGAGGGGTGGATCAAAAATTTTATAAATGCTAGGGATGTATCAAAGTATTATATCACTTCAAAGTAGACAGAGGAGTTAACGTTTGCCTCAGCAAGATTCATATCTACGTTAATTGTACTCAGATTTAAGATCACCACTAAATTTGTTTTTTGATAACAAGTGATTAATGTAAATGCAAATAATGCTAATTCAAGGTTGCACTAATAATCAAAACATGCTAAAGAATGTACGATTGTTAAATACACTGAAAAAGAAAATGATCTGTATGTGATGCCATGAACATTTATCCCTTCTCCAATACAGGAAGTTTTGAGTTGGCCCTAATCCGTGCCTGTCGTGTTTATGATGAACAGACAAACAGTATCATCTTTGGTAACGCCACAGTACCTCTCTCTGTTTTCAGCAGTTTTAGTAAGTATATGAGTAAAGTACATGTACAATATTATATAATTTCTTTTTACTTGGTGAATAAATATGTTTGTTTAAAAAAATTATTTACAATATCCATATTCGCTATAAATGCTTTTGAAGTAAACAAAGTGGAAAAATTTATTTACCAAAACTCCCCAGCAGCAGGGGGCCTATGTGGCCCCTGGAGCCCGACCCTCTTTACAGTTTGTCATGTTAAGATGTTGACAGTGCTCTGTTCGTGTATCTGATGAGAATTCTCTTTTTACCAGATGAGGAAGAGTGCCATTTACGAGACCGTGTGTTTGAGTTTGTGCGGACCATTAAACAGATGAAGTTAACGGAGAGCGAGATCGCCTTGTTCAGTGCGGTGGTTCTAATCAGGGCAGGTGAGTTTACACCTGGTCCTGGGGCCATATAACCTGATTTTGCTCAATTTTTTATTTCAGTTTCACCTTTACAAAAGGAATTTATTGTGAAAAGTTGAGACAGATTAATAGTGATCTCGTATTATATATTAAGCATGTGCTCAATCGTATATAATAACTTTTGAAAATAAATTATTCATTGTTTCTTGAATCAATGAGTTACTGAGAGTATGACAGTATTTAACTAAAGTATGACAGTATGACATGAGAGTATGACAATATTTGACAGAGAGTAATTATCTCCAGATACAGATTTTTGTTGAAAAGACGATGAAGGACTTTGTACTAGTTCACACTTATTCTCAAAATATATTTTGTACCATTTCAAATGATGAAATGATCAATTTAAAATTTATTGTTCAAATTTTTTTTTTTCTGTGCATGAAATATTTTTTAAAAAAAGACCTTATATGTAGTAACATAGTAAAATGTTGTCACTGCAAATCAACAAGAACAACACATGTTTACATTTAAAATGTGTGTGTGCATTGAGGGAAATTAAAACTAAAAATTAAAGTTTTCTTGGTATTTTACACAGATCGTCCAGGATTAAAGGACATAGCAGATGTTCAAAAACTGAATGAAAAAGTTCTGACAGCGTTAAAGCAGGAGCTGATTAAAACGCACACGGATGAGAACCTTCTGACGCGACTGATGCAGCTAACGTGGACATTACGACAACTTAGCTCCCAACACATAGTGCTTCTCAATAAATATAAACAGGCAAATCCAGAGGTGGAGTTCCCTGCCCTTCATAAGGAACTCTTCAGTGTGGAAGGTTTAGAAGGTTCATAGAGTCCTCAGTCAAATTAGAATGTGTTTTTGAGAAAACAACATTTGTTCATTTATATAAAAAAGAAATAATATTGTGCTTATGTTGATCGGCAATTCTTAGAGAAGAGTAATATAAAAAATTGTTTTGCTTCACGGGAATTGTCTGGACAGAAAAAAGAAACTTGTTTTTGACTGATTTATATATCCTATTTTTGAAAAAAAAAAAATTTATAGATATGATTGTTTTTACTTCTGATTTTGTGCATAGCATGTTCCGTATAGTAGAAAACTATATATAGATATATAACAGAAGTGTTAATTACTTATATTGTATACTGCAAATCTACTTTTAATCATGCAACATCTTTTAAGTTTGATTTGTTATTATTCAGAAGTTAACAGAAATTCCTAGTTTGAAATAAAAAAAAAATTAAGGTTCATCAACTCTCTGAAAAGAGAGATAACTCTTACTTGGATAAGTCACTATTTGTTCTGTTTAAAATTGTCATTTGAAAAAGTCACTTCTGTAAAATCTGAAATTTAGTGCAATTTTAATTACAAGTAAGATTTCTTTTGGGAAATTTGTTCTTGTTAAAAATAAAATTTTACAAGAGTAAATAGGGGGATGATGAACCTATTCTTTGTGAAAACAACTGTGCTAATTTTACTAGGAAAAAAAACCAAGATGTCATGTATAAAAGTTGTTTTGCAGAAATTGTAGATTAAAAATTAAAGAGATGTATGTGCAGAAAAATAACACGGCATGAGTTGGCCTGACAAACTCGGTGATGGCAATCCTGTGGGTATGGCTTGGCTATGATTCTTATCCCACAACATAGATTTTTTTTTATGCATTTCAGTATTTTTTTATTATTCCCCATTTTAAGAAAGCAAGTAGAGAAGCATATTGGAGTTGAAAAAATTTCAGAATTTTAAATTAATTTTAGATGAAAATTTTTGATTTTTGAATAGGAAATTGGTTCATAGATACATCTGTAATACAAGAAAATGAGTCAATTTTGTTAGCACTATTGCCCCTCCCTCCCCCCCCCCCCCACCCTTTATTTTTCTTCCCTCAGGAAATATTTGAACGATGATTTGGGTTGTTTTGTTTTAGGAATGCTGTATTATAAAATGTTGGAATCAAAACATGTTTATTGTTGTTTTTATTCTATTGTCATTTTTATTTCGCTCACATTGTAGAGATAAAGCAAGGGGCTTCAATGTTCATGTTTCTATCTGTTGTTTTTAATTTTTAAATGTAATCACACATGTTCTTTGCAAATAGTCAGTTTAATTCCAGTTGCCAGTATTTGAGCAATATTGTATGAAGACATGAAAGAAGAAGAAAGAAAAACGTGATTATACTGCCATTAGCCTGCTCTGTTGTATATTTGGTAAATACAGTACAATGTAGTATTTATGCTATCTCAATACTTGCATTGATTATTTTTTAAAAAATCTTTAATTTTTAGGGAGGATGATACAGTTGTTTCTATTGCCTAATTGCGTGAAGTATTTTTTTTAAAGCTTGAACAGGATAAAGTTCATTCTATCTCAGCTGAAATATAATAGTGCTGATTTTTATGAATAATTTTGTTGTGAAAAAGTATTACCTCTGACATTTGTGAAGTTGATATACTGTTCATTTTATAACTGCGTTAAAAAAATACTTGTTTGAAGTAAAGAGTATGGAATCCTGCCAGCAATTATAAACCATTAATTTTTTTTTTCCTTGGACAAATATTTTATTATATTTGGCATTTTGTAAGTTTTTTTTCATCTGTCTGTTGACTCATAAAAAATTGCTTTGATAATTATAAGAAATTTCCAGAAGAACTCTACTTTATAATTTCAGTGCAATCAATTGCAGTGTAGCTAGCAAAATTTTTAGTGTTTTTTTTTTTTAACAATTTTTTAGAGGAATTATAATCACTAATACCAGTTAGAGTTGTCTCTCTTACCAGAGGGTCAGAAACCTTGAGGTTAAAAAAGTAAAATTAGCAGTAATGCCTTCTTTTCCTCACAAGTACCCTGCCAATCCAACTTGAGCAGCATATACCTATTCAGGGGTTTCCATATTTGTAGCAAGCTTTTATCGTGTGTAAATAGTGAGAAAAAAAAATCGGCTTTAAATCCACATTTTTTTGTCCATGTTGGAATCATTTAAACATAATTAGTCAAAATTTGCATTATTGAAGTTTCATTCATTATTATAATGAAAGAGTAGGGTTTTTTAAAAACTTTTTAAGCCTGGCACAAAATATCAAAGATATTGATGGAGGCATAATGGGGTTGTCCAAGAGGTATTTTTAATAGAACTTGTATATGAAAAAAATATATCAGAAATTGGAAAAACTGTATATTGACCACCATTTTATTGCATATTAAATTATTTTTTTGTCTTTTCGATAGAAAAATAATTTTTGAAGATTTACTGAAAAATGTAAGATGACAAATTCAGTGTGGTAAGTTTCTTCAGATTTGGTACATTTTCAAGTTCGTGTCAGGAAAGTAAACTACATAGGGTTGTTTGACTAAATTGGCAGCTGAAAAGGAAAATAGATATGAAATTTTGTGATGGAAAGATCGTACAATATTGTTATTAAGAGATAACTGAAAATTTTAAACTGTGTTGAAGATGGTTTTGTTATTCACTGTATACAAAAGTGCAGAGTCATTTGTATTTCAACAGATAATATTTTTGTTAAAATTTTATTTTAATTGTTACTTTGTTATGTACATGTATTATGTGTTTGTTAAGGACTACATTTTTTACTTTTTTTTGGTCAATTCAGTTGTGCACATAAAGTGTAAATATGTAGAGTATACCAAAAATTGTGTACAGACTTTACCAAAATCATGTGTCAATCATTAGTCAGTGTTTTATCCACATATTTTTTCATTCATATTCAAATGATGTAAAAAATTAGCCCCATTTAATAAATGACAAGCCATGTTTATAGTAAATCCTGGCTAACTTTATCCAATGAATTCAGCCTTAAACTTTTTGGGTAATTTATATTCTTCAACAGGAAAAATAAATACTTATTGAAAATCCATTTAAGATGATGGACAAGAATTCCTTTGCAGTTTTTTGATACTTTAAATGTTGATGTTCAAAAGCAAAAATTATCCACATTCAAAATTCAGTGGAGACATCCGATGTCCGTGTTTTTATTTATTTTTGTTTAAGTTTTGCCAGGTATGGTTACTTTAAATGAGTTTGTTTTATTAAATGGGATGCCACATCAACATCACAGCTTCTCAGCCTTTTAGGAATAAAATCCACCAAGGTATTACAATCATAATATATGCTTCTGGGAGCATCTAGCCATTGCGAAGAGGTGAGGGATTTCTGTTCTCAAATTCCTGTTCTCTTTGCATGTGTTCGGTTCTAATGTAAAACAGAACAATAAGATTCTTTCTCTACCACCATTACTTTATTTGTAATACTTCCGAGATTGTTCCTCTACTAATAGAAGGGGTCTGAGAAGTTGCCCTTGCCATTTTGTAGTTGCCATATTTCACATTTAGTTCAATACTGACATATTTCCTTTATATATATGTAGTAGTGGATCCTAGCATTTCTAACATTCTGGTACAGGCTTCAGACTATCCCGGACAGTCTTGTTCTAAAATTGATATCATTGTTTCCATTCTGAAACGTTCTATAACTAATAATGGTTAAAATGGTTACCATTTTGATACAGACTTCTACAAAAGTTAATATCAGTAAACACTTTTGTTTTAAAACTGTAATTGTCAATATTTTCATACGAATTTTTTAAGGAATTTGTATAATTTACATTTTTTCACCTGCATTTACAGTTTTACATGCAAAATTTGTAAGGCCTGTAATATTTTGTCATGTTTGTTTAATACTAACATTGGTGAGTAGGAAAAATATACTGATTTAATGATTTGAAACTTTTTATTAACATGTAAAACATTATAAAACAGATATTTTCATATTTATTCTATTAGAATTGATTTTTAATCCCTTCTTAGGGTCATTTAAGATGTCAATTCTAAGGTCATGACATCAGATGACCTGGTAATTTAGAAGGTCAAAAGTTTATTTAATTGGATGCCTCAGGGTTACAACAAAAAAAAAATAATTTTGTTACAAAGATTTTTGATGTTGTTCTGTGGTACGTGTAACTTTTGCTTGCATCAAAAGCATTGCCTTCTGCCAAGACATGAAGGTTAAGTGGGTTACATCGGAATTGTTTACAAGCATTATTTGCCAATTGATTTTATTATAACGTGCTGCTATTTTTTTTTTCTTACTAGATTACCTCCCCTGTGACTTGCATTTGCTTATTATAGTAATTTCACACACCGTTGTATTTGTTTGTACCGAACAGGGCCATGTATTACATATTCTGATTGGTCAGTTTCAAAATGAAATCATATTTTCATAATGCATCTATCCAATGAACTATTTTTTTTCGTGATTTACATGATGAAATATTATATATGTATATGTACATTGACGTATTTCGTTGATTAAAATAAAACATCAGTGTACGATTAAAGCAGAAGTTGTGTTTTGTTTGTTGAGTTTGGTTCTATGATGTTCATGTTGTTGAGAATGTACTTTTATGGGTTCATCTCTCAGAAAAAAACAGTGAATTTACAGCAATTTAAAGTAACAAAATCTATATCCATACATCCATCCACCCATCTATCTATCTATCTATCTACAATATTTTGCATAAAAATGACTCGAGTTCAACAGCTGGAAATCTGCAATGTGTAAGATTGATGTGCAAAATAAGATCTTATCTTGAAAACTGGGGGAGGTGTTACCCAGACAAATGATGTACCCTATATGCAATATTTTGCCAAAAAAAAGATCTAAGTTCAGCTGATACGGAATTTTTTTTTTTTTTTTTTTTTTTAATATGGCCGGGGCATATAATGTTTGTCATGTCCATCTTCCGTCTTTCCATCCTTCCGTCGCGCTTTGCGTTTAGCTCAGTTCAAATCTCATTTTCAAAGAAACTTTCAAAGATATTTTCATTAAACTTCATATGCTGATACATACTGATGAGAGCTATGCAAATGCATAAACATTTTCTGACCTTGACCTTTCCTTTGACCTTGGCCTCACTTTTTAGGTCACCTGAGTTTACCTATGACCTATTGCTATCTGTTTTCGTCCGTCGGCGTGCGACGTCCGTCGTGCGTTAACATTTGAACATTTTCAGCTTCTTCTCTGGAACCACTGAACCAATTTCAACCAAATTTGGCATATAGCATCTATAGGTGAAGGGGAGTAAAAATTGTGAAATTCACGACCCTTCCCTCCTGGGGCCTGAGGGGTGGGGCTAAAACCATCAAAATT